CTATTCTCTTGTAAATACTACGATGAATGTCTCCACATTTTTCCCATTTGAGTGTCTCATTATTCCTGTCAGGGCCTTGATTGACAATTACTGGTAGCAGGAGTGGCCCCAAGGCCTCAGAGAATCAAAATGGCATTCCAGCACTGAGTTGCTCAATTTGAAGAGAACAGAATAGCTTTCTTACTGGGGAGTTAATGGAAAACTAATTCTAGGTATTTGCTGGCAATATGATTACCCAAATTATTACTGCTGGTAGCATGTGGCCTTTACTTGCTTAAGTGACAATGGTGGTGTGTAGAGTGAAGACTGTGTACTGTGATATGGCTAATTCTGATGGTCCGAAGGATTACACAAAGGAGAAAGGACAGTTTGAAGGTCTTGAATGCTCACTTTATGTCAGAACAGAAGTTGGAATATCAAAGTCCTCTGTCAGCTTTAAAAGAGTCCTTATTTACTTAAGCCTCAGGGCAAATAAGGCTGAAAACCAACTCCAGAATCTGATTTGAAGGGTTACTGAATTGCCATACTAAATAAAATGGGCAATACCAATACAACAGGTCTTGGCAATGGACTAGTGAAACATGGAATGGTACTATCAGATCAAATACTAAGGCTCAGAATGTTGAGCTCCCAAACACTTCCAAACCACTCTTGCTGGAAGACACAGTCCTCACTCCCTACCTTTCCATCTAAGGAAACTAATGCTCCATAAATCAGCATTCCCATAAAGTCAGAAGACTTTCGATTGCTTCAGCTGAGGCAAGAACCCAATCAGAAAATGGCAGTTCTTTTCAGGACTCATTCCTATTAACTCTCATTGCCCCTAGGCTCATAATAAGTTAGATCCTAATATAACCAAAATCAAGGCCTGATCGAGGAGGTGACAGCCTATACACTGAAAGAATTGCAAAACTGCCAATTTGTATCAGCAGGAGTCCAGTTAGCATGTAAGGGAATTAATCGATTTTAAGGGTTTTATACCAAGAAGATGAACCAAAATGCTAGATTGGGCCAAATTTATCAATATATATGCATTCACCTGGATTTGAGATTTAATATATTGCCTTGAGCAAGTGGGAGTGACTGGTTAATTGAATCCTTGATTCAATGATGGCTTATTAGTAAAAAGTTGAACATAGCAAAGAGGAAGAAGAACAAAAGCTCAAATAAGTAAGAATAATGGAAAGGATCTATTATGAATCACCCCGTTCGGCCTGCCACTTACATACTTCAGGAAGGGCCTGTGGGACACTCCCATCACCAAAGAATTACACTGGTAAGGAAAGAAGCCGCATGCTTGAAAAGCTTTATGGTAATTGTCTTCTGTAGGCTGGAGAGAACAATGAGAGATGTTGCAAATAGATCTGGCCTCCCTGATTTAAATGTATATGTGATCTCAGAGTGACAGAGGCTCTATGGTAGGAAAAGGAGATACCAAGTCCTACCACAGATTATTAGTCTATTAGATTAGCTCTGAGTTGACATTAATCTCTGGAACCCAAAATGCCACTGTAGTCCACCAGTTCAAAGTGGGGGCATATGGAGGTCAAGATATGTATGTAGACTTTACCCAAGTCCATCTTACAGTATTGTGGGAACAAATAAACTCAGTAATGGGAAGAATCCTTATGTTGGTTCCCTGACCCATGGCTATCATGAAAAGCCAAGAACAGAGCTGTCCAATGCAAATATGAATCACACACGTAATTTTAAATTTTCTAGTGGCCACATTTTAAAAAGGTTAGGAATTAATTTTAATAGATTTTATTTAATAAGAACATATCATTTCAATATGTGGCACTAGCCACAGGAGGCTAATTGCTACCACAGTGGAGATCACAGCCCTAGACTTAAAGATAGCAAACTAAAACTGAAAGATGTCATGGGGATTCCTACCACACACCCATTTATACTGTTTATTAGGCTAATGCAAGCTAGATGGTTCTGTGGATGCATGCAGTCTTAATCACATCAAAATGCCAACGACAGATGCAGTTCTAGCTGTAGTATCTTTACTGGCACATATTAAACTATAACATAGCCCCTGATACCAGGTATGGTGATACTGACTTAATAATTTCTTTGGAAAATAATTCCTTATCAACAGATAATCTGAAGCACTTTGCCTTCACATTGCAGGGACAGCATACTTTTATTATCTTAGCTTAAGGCTAGGTCAACTGTTCTGTTATAATACAGTCCAAAGAAATCTTGTTCATCTTGACATCCCACAGAACATCAAGTTGGAACATTATATTCACGGTACTGACTGGACATGGTGAGCAGGAAGTAGTAAATACCTGAGATGCCTCAATAAGATATATGCTAGAGGACAGGAGATAATTGCCCCAGAAAGTTCAGAGAAGCACAGCATTAGTGAAATGTTATGGGTTTGGTGGTCGAGACATGTTGAATTAGGTCCTCTATAATAAATGAAAATGGCTGCGCTTTGCACATTTCACCATGAAGAAGGAGGCAAAGTTTGTATGCGGCTGTGATGTATGTGCTAGGTGCCCAAGGGAAGACTCTTTCCACCAGGGATCAGAGTTCTGGAACTGTCATACTGGACTACTCCCTGGCTATCTGGGGCATCTCAAGCTGCTAAACTAAGAGGGACAGAAGTGGGCTATTGGTTGGTAACTTTTCCAGACTACCAAGATGGTTTTGGATTGTTGCTATGTTTGGAACTCAGGAGATTCACTGGGGTACCTCTTTTAAAAAATGTGCCCAATAATCCTGGTTACTGAAAAATTGCAGTAATCCAAGGAAAACAGGACCATCAAATCCTCAGAATTTATAGAAATTAAGGTCTGGGTCACTCATCAGATAAAGAATCCTGTTCAGCCCAGGTGCTAAAAAAGAGGGTGAGAGTAAGGGAAAGATGGATTTGGTAGCAGAAGAAGAAAGCTATAAATGATCAATTTGGGCTTTCTGAACAAATTGGAGAGGCACGGACTTTAGCAGCTATGTTTTATGCTGTATCTATTACAAAAAGCATTGGCAATGGCAAATATTTTAGGTTATAGTTAGAACTATAACTGAATTCATATCACCTGTTGATGATGCAGTAGCTGGATGACACCCTCCTCACTCGCATTGCTCCATTAAACTCTCTTTAATTAGCCAGCAAATTGCAAAATAATAGCATGATTGCAATTACAGGGTCCATATCTTTATTTTTTTGAACCTCAAAGTAGCAGTATATTTATTTACAAAATATGCAATTTCACAGAAACAGCTTCACTATACACACAAACTTGATAATTACACAGAACCATGTAAGTGTTGTCAAGTGTCTGGCCTGGTGAAAGCCAATGGGAATGGCCTACTTTTGGAGCAGCGTATTTCTCATTCCTCACTTCATTAGCCACCAACCAGGAACCTCTAATGAGTCATAACTAATTTGCAAAAAAGATGATGATTGCAACTGCCCAGTTCAATAGAAACAAAAACCAAGATGTCGTCTTAGACACCACCCACATGGATGGATGTGTTAAAAGAACAAAAAGGAAATCAAGGCAACACAAACTGAGTTATCAAAAGCCTTCCAGAGAGGTTGAGCTTTGAAGGCATTGAACCTTCTAAGGGCAATATAGGAATCCCAGGTAAAGTAACAATTGTACATTAAACTATGATATTAAAAGTAACACAACTTTGTAAAGAATGAAATAAATGTTTAAAGTTATATTTTTTCCTCAACTTCATGTAATAGATAATGTCCATGAAAATTTATGCTTTATACAATCCATGGTCAATTCAATAATGCTTTAATAAGCCAGAGTACATGGCTAGCTAAAGGAATTAACTGTCACATCTTAAAAACATCCTTCAATAAAGAATAATTTTTATAATAAAGATGTAATTTTCATAGCATGATTTAAAATAAAATATGTCATAGTTGGAAATAAGGGAATTGCTTTGAATCAAGGAGGAAAGTAACTATATATACTTAAAATATTTTTTATTTATATTTGCATTCATTTCATTTTTCTATAACTGCTCCAAATTTACAAGTTAATGTCTAAAATAGTTTACACATTTCACATTCATGTTAAAAACCAAGTAAAGCCTTAAGGATTAATAGGGAAAATGTAAAAAAAAGATAATACAAGCATTACCTCACAATCCACAGCACTCTCTAATACAATTTGTCAATGTAGATGAAAATATCACTTCCATCATATCTTCATATTAAAATTAAATTTTAATATGTCATTATGGACAGAAGGAGGATATAAAACTGGCTTGAGAGTATTCTATATTAATTTTCCACCTTTCACTTCTTGGTTATGGCAATTCATGCTAAAAGTCAAATGAGATTCATTCAGATTTCTAATCATTCTTGCTCTTTTATGTACTATATTCCAGCATTTTAAAAATATCACACTTATTCTAGATTTTTTAATGATGATTTATGAAGAGAGAAAAGTTCAGAGAAAATCCAATGACTATATTTTGAGAGTTAAAGAAACAAGGTGTGTTTAAATGAAATATAAAATACTCTAACAGCCAATTTTCTAATGAGCATAATATTTTCAAGTTTAAAAATAGCGACATTTGATTTCCCACTGAGGTCCCAGCCTGGGCACTGTATCAGTTGAAAAATATCACAGCTTTCATCTCCTCTATGATAATATTAGCATGTAACTATGATATTTTACTAGATTTTCCATTATCCTGGATTAACCATAATTACTGAATTAATAATTATAAAATTAAAAATCATAGAGAATCTACAGAGCAGTTGTCTCCTTACTTCAAGAGCTTGAAATAAGAGACACTTCCATTGACGGTGCTACTTTTTGCCAAGTCTGTAAGTCTAAAAAAAGGAAGGGCCATATGCATCTTGCAAAATTTATCAGTTATTCAATGTACACAAAAATATTGTCTAGCTCATTCCTAGCTATGTACCAAAGCTATAAGTTATTCTGTATTATTCTATAACGCTTTCCTGAATTCTTATATTTTAGCTTTTTTCTCAAGGAGTCAGTGACACTTACCAGAGTGGGTCCTGAGGTGTCCTGTGAGGGCGTCCCTTCTTCTACAGGCATAGCTACAAAAAGGACATTTGAACGGCTTCTCTCCAGAGTGTAACTTTATGTGTCTCAAAAGGTTGCCCTTCTGAGTGAAAGAAGCTCCACACTGGTTACAGTGGAAGGGACGTTCACCTGCCGAAAGGAAAAGAGGTAGGAAAGATCAAGTAGGTTATGTGGAAGGGACTGATCTGTACACTATTAACTGGTTCCAGTTCTCTGTGCTGAGAATATTCTTCTCCCCCTTTAGACTTCTAAACCTTTATCTTCCTAAAATTTGCTAATACTGAAGCCTTCAACTTTAGGTCAAGTGCCGATTCCTCTCTTCAGATAAATTTTACAGGATTCCTGTCACTGACTCAAAAGAATTAGCAATAGCATTGACCACTGTTTGAACAACTAAGTGCCATCACTTTACTCACTTTACTGGTAGCTTTACATAGAATATTTCAAACCTTATAATGATATTACTAATTAGGCATCTATAATTTCAGTTTGCAAATGAAGAACTTGAAGTTCAAGTATCAAGGTATCTGATAGTTACAGAGCTAATAAGTACTTAAACCAATATGAATCTTGCTCAGTTGGACTACAAAATCTTGCTCTATTGTACCATGCTATCTCTTTTAAAATTACAGAAATTTTGAATTTGACTTGGAAGGGGTCTTTAGTCTAATTCTCTGATTTAGCTGATAATTCTCTTTCCGGGTGCCAGGTTACAAAGTTCATCATCACAAAATCTCCCAAAATTAGCCCAGGCCCAGGTCTCATTCCTAGTCACTAACAGTGAAAGCTTTGGCAAAATTTCCTGATATAAACAGGGAAAATCCAAAGAAAATTATTCATCCAGATATTTCCTGTATATTCTTTTTGTTGTGAAAATAATTTGAAACATTTTCTCTCTTTTTTCCTATTATTGGATACTGCTATAAAACTGTTTAAGCCAGAATTATCAGTCTATTGTCATCAACTGGCTGTCACCAAGGTCACTGAACATAAAAATGTGTAGTTGGGGAAGCAGTAAAATTAGCAAGTAGGGTCAAACCATGAAGAAAATACTATCATTTTAAGTTTGCTGATCTCTAAAGATATTCACGAACTAAACTATAAATTAATATATAAATAGTACAAAATAGTAAAGCTCAAAGTTTAGGACGGAAATAAAATATTTTAAAAATTCACTTTTGGTTTAATGGGACTATTTCTGTACTTGAGGTTAGATGAAGATTATAATTTTAATACTTAAACATTTATACTGAATTCTCATGTTTTATATCTTTAACTGAAACATTTGAAAATAGTGAATAATGAAACCTCAAATATTTTGGGGAGGCTTTTAATTAATGCAAACTCAATGATTCTTTCTATTAAAGGAAGCCAGGAGTCATAAAGAAGATAAACTGGCCATTTTCTTGCAGTTGCCACTGCACATTCTATCATATAGATTTGTTATAAAACCTAAAGAAATTAAAAATTGATACATCAGGTGTGTCTCAAATTCTGTACTACTTGATCATTTTGGAACTTTATGAGATACATACCCCCAAAAATGTAATTTGTGTGTTCGTGTAGCAAGGCTAAAGGTTTTTGTTACAAAATCTGGAGATCTGAACTACATTTACAAAAAGTCCTTGTACTAGTGTATTAAGTTGAAAAAAAATTATGTTAAAGTTACCTTAAATTTGATCTTATTTCACTTGTTTGATTCATTTGATGAAACTAACAAATTAAATCAACACTAAATACAGCTTAAGAGAGAAATACTTTACCAAAAAACCCCTTATATGAAGTCTTACAAACTAAAGTTTTAAAATAAATCTAAATTTGGTAAATCTTTACACACACACACACACACACACACACAACTTAATTTGTTGACTTTTTTTTTTTCCAATGAAATAGCAGTCTATAGCTCTTTAAAATCAGGAATTTCTACTCCCCACCCCTGCCATGGAATTATTAATAAAAAAGAAGGATGCACTTTCTTCATGAGAATTTTTATACCGTAGGAAAATAGCAAATGCAAATTATACTTTTCACTCCAAATACTTGATTTTACTTTTGAAATCTATGTAGGGTCTTCCAGGCAAGTAACAAATCAGTATGCAATAACTTTAAAATGAATTAAATTAGTTTGGTAAATAAAAACATTTGAAATCATGTTTGCCTTTAGAAAATACTCCTGTAACACGCTTAGATTTTCATTAAGCCTCCTAAAATTGAAATATTTAAAAATTCCTAATTTAGAGTACTGAATTTGTCATACCAAGTAATGCTAATCAAAAAAGAAAAAATAATAAGGATAACTCTCTTTAAAAAGAATTTTAAAATTCATCTAATTGAGTTTATGAGACTAATGACAGGGTAATTTTGTTTTTACATTTACAAAATATTCCAGATATCTTCAAATATTTTTTAATAGAATTACTTCTGAATTTATATGATCATCCTTAAAGAGGCAGGAGAAATGAAAAGGGGTCTAGGTATATCAGGAAATACTGTCTGTCACTGAGTGTGCCTTAGTGTGGAGACATTTGCTAACTATATTCCCATGGCCATGGGAAATAAAGAAAGGCATGATGAAGGTTAACAAACCATGTTCCTGTTTTTGATAAGAGGAAAGGGGCAATGATAATAATGTACTTTGATTTCAGCTGATGAAGCTTTGAGAAATATTGATCTGCTTTACATGAATTAAATCTTGAATTGGGATTATGAGATACATGTAAAATGAGCTGATATTTAAGTAAAAGGTTCATATATTGTGTTGTGCCTTGAAACAATGCATCTCAATTATTTTTTAAATAATTTGCTTTTTCTTTAACAAATAGGCTGAATCAACTAGTCCTTTTTGAGTAAGTTTAGACTTTGCCTAAAAAAATATATTAATCATGTTCTTATTCAGAAATAAAGAAAAGCAAACTTCAAGAAAACACCACAAATGTACTAAATACACTATACAGTATAATCCAATTGAAAAAATCAAATAGGTTATTGTATCTGTGATAACTAATTTCCCCATGGGTGGGTACAAAAGTCTGGATTAACAACTCTGAATCCAGGAGAACAATTAATATGTGGCCATGCTATCATTCATTTCCATTCTTAATCTGCTTCTTGTTTTGTTTTGGTTAGATTTTTTATAAAAAAATCTGCTCAAGGACCTTTTTTAGTTATTCCCAGAATGAAGTTATCTATTCTTATTTTGAAATAAATTATATTTCATTATTTTATGTACTTTCATAAACACATATTTCTAGATCTGTTTAAATATTCAACTGAAATACAAGTATCAGTTTGCTTTGATGAATCAAAGACAGAGGGTGTTCCTGTGTTGGATGGAGCAACCACCTACAAATAAGAAAAATTCCAAGTATTTGTTGAGAAGACCTTGGAGCAAAAGAATGGTTCCATAAAGCTACAATATACACAGAGTTACAAAGATGGGAGTACTCTACTCCAAAGAAGGGCAAAGTTAAGGATAGTCTATATTTATAATGGTCCACATCAATTCGTGTTTAAGCAAGAATTGATTTACTACCTCTACTTCTTTTATTCTGCCTGTATCACAGTGAAGAGTGCCTGGAGTATCCGATGACAATATTACCTGATTACCTACTAGAGTAGCAACACCAAGAAATAAATAACACCAACCCATTTCTAAGACACTAGAATTGGCACTTTAGTAGAGTTTGAAAGAGAAAGAAGAAGTGAACTAGATACGATACTCCACACGTCATCTTAGTAAACTGGGTGGTTGTTGTGTATATTTTTATACTATCAATTTTATATTGGATATTCTATGACACACAAACATGTTTCCCAAAGGCTTTATAAGGATTTAAGACAGTGCCTTTTAAACTAGCTATAAATAATTGGTGAGAGGGGGGAATTCTGAAATGAAGACAGTAGTTCATGGCATTAATAAGAAAACATTTGGTTAATACTAGATCCTGACCACATTTTTTTCAATCTAGTTTAAATTAAAAAAACAAAACAAAACATACAAATAGACTTTCTGTTCTCAAAGAGTACTAAAATGGAGTTGAAAGGTCATGACCCATTCAGATATATAAACTGGGTCATCAGAAATACATATAAAAATAGCTACTTTAAAGATATATCACAATTTCAAGGTCAATAATGTGTGGCAGGTATCCCAAGCTCCTCTATGAATGGCTATTTAACAGAAACTTTCCAGATCTGAGGAAAGTTATTTTTATAATACTCCAATAAGCATTCATTAACAATAAAAGTTCATGAAGTTACAAGAGGACTTATTTATTTTGTCCATTCTTGCCTTTACTAGTTGAGTGAATCCCATATTCACAGAACTTGTGGAAATCCGTATAACTATTTAGAAACATCTTCCGTGTCAATTTGATGATTTTCAGAATCAGAATAATTCAACTCTACTATAGTAGTAAATATTAAATAAGCAGTAGAGTCAGTATGTAATCACTCTTGTGTTTACAAACCAACAATCCTCATGAAAATCACTGCAAATGCAGTGAAACACTGATTAACCTAAATATTCAAGAGAGCACACTCAGGTTCTTTAAATTTTCTTGACTCAGACCATAAAAGGTTTATTAGAAATCTTACAAAAAATTGTTGTTAGTATACTTTTTAGCCTTAAAATGTACACTATATGCAATTCAACTGAAAAGTCATTAGACTACTTTTGTTTAGTTTATATGTTGCTAGTTACACATTTGAATGGGTGTTATCTACCTCAATATAATCACTGTGAGATAATGAATACATTATAACTTGGTAGAACTCTTCTTTTAGAACTGCAGTTAACGTTACTTCATGAGCATAGATGAAAAGTAGACTCATTATTTTATAGTCTTTTCCTATTTTTCTTATAAAATACCAAACTCGATCTTTTAACTTTTCTCGAAGAATTTTTTTTAATTAAGGTAAAAAAATCTACACTAGCAATATAAATATTTTTAAAATATGCTGTTTAAAGAGGAAATTAAAAATAAAACCAAAAGTTAACATGTAACTGTAGAGCTGGAATAAGGGTACAGGTTCTAAACCTGATGATTTTGATTAAGATAACATTGATTTTAATGTGTAACTTCTTACTATAATTTTTAAGCCTTATAATCATATCTCATCATTAAATGTTGGTGCAGTGAGATACCAAGTACAGTATATTTGCACAAAACCAGTCTGGGCATCAGGAAACCTTGGTTTTAGCCTCATAATGACCTAACTACATAAGGAATAATGGACAAATCATTTGACTGTTTGGGGCTTCAGTTTCTTCATGTGTAAATGAGAGATTTGGGCTAAAAAGACTTCAGTGTATCCCATATCTCTCATGTTTTAAGCACCTACTAATTAAATTGATTTCTCTCTCTTCCAAAGAGAAACATATTTTAAAACTCTGAGAGTATTAGTGATTAATATTTTGCTATATAATACTACTTTGCATTATAGTTAAAGGTACCATCTTTAAATCAATTTTCATATGGACTTAAAACTTTAAGAGTCAACCATCTGCCTTTCTTACACATAATCTCACTTTTTTTTTTTATTTAAACTTTTTTTTTTTCATTTTGCCAAAGGATTTGGAGAGATTTAAATAAGGCCTTCTCCTCATTTAGCTATTTTTTTACATTACTCAAATGTCTAAAAGTATATATTCTATTAATCGGAATCCTCTTTTCCTCACCCTGTTCCATGATTACACATTCCTACCAGCATACCCACCACTCTTGGCTATACTGTACCCTACATATCTCTTTGCAGGAGTTATAATAAAAAAAATTACCGGAAGATGGTAACATCCTCAACTAGGGAAAGTATCTGCCTAATACAGAGACCCATGGTAGGCAGAGACTGATTGGAAATTGTATTCCAAGAAGTTAACCAGATAAGGTGAAAATGATCCACCTCTATATAAATGCATGAGTACCATTTTATAGTATAAACTCTTAGCTAGCAAACTATATTACCTGCCCATGGGTATGGTAAAATACGTATAGAAATACAAAAAGATTAAGTTACACAATGAGATTCTCCTATACCTTTTGAACCCTTATCATATTATTGCTATATTAAGAACTGTGGAAACTGAATCCCAAACTTCTTTTCTGATATGCTATTCAGATTTGAAGGCTGGAAGTCAAGACCCAGGCTACTCTCTGCTTTTCAGCAATCCAATACTAGCAGAATTCTGAAAAGGTAGTTTCACCACTGCCACCCCTGAATAAAAAGGAAAGAGAATAGATGTCAGGTAATATCAACATCAGATGTCACAGGCAGTCATCAGGTTATTCTTTCAGCTGCTTACCAGTGTGACTCCTTTTATGTACCATAAGCACATTGGGCCCAATGCAAACCATGCCACAGACGTCACATTTCAGTTTACCATTCGGAAGCCGGATTCCTCCCTCGCCTTGAAGCTCCTGGACTTTCCTGTTGTCAGCCACCTCGCTGCTCTCAATTAGGGGTTCTTCTAGGCCGCTACCTTCATCATGGCCCCTGATCTCATCTTCACGGCTCAGGGGTTTCCTGTCACACTCTTCATCACTCTGCATTTCTAGCTTTACTGAATTTGCTGTAATTTAAAAAAGAAGAAATGAAGGCATTTTAAATGCAGGCTATGTGTTGTCATCTACATCTCTTCTCCACCCAGTGCCATTCTATAAACATGGATAGAAATCACCAATGCAATGTTAATACATACTGTGCTCGAAAATATTTTAGTGACTTTGCCATCAAAGTGAAGATGGCTCAAAAAACCTCGAGGTGAACAGAATGACACTTCATTTGTACACACATTTCTTTCTTCAACTTATATATTTTTTTAATTTTTAATTTTTTAAAAATTTTATTATGTTATGTTAGTCACCATACATTACATCATTAGTTTCTGATGTAGTGTTCCATGATTCCTTGTTTGCATATAACACCCAGTGCTCCATTCAATACGTGCCCTCCTGAATACCCATCCCCTTCGTTAAATATATATATATTTTTAAAGATTTTATTTATTTATTTGAGAGAGAGAGACAGAGCGAGAGCATGAGAGGGGGGAGGGTCAGGAGGGTCAGAGGGAGAAGCAGACTCCCTGCTGAGCAGGGAGCCCGATGCGGGACTCGATCCTGGGACTCCAGGATCATGACCTGAGCCGAAGGCAGTCGCTTAACCAACTGAGCCACCCAGGCGCCCCCCTTCGTTAAATATTTTTAAAGCAAGTCCTTAATTCTGGTATTGGCTTTTGATTTTGTCACTACTGAGACTCAGCATTATGTATGAGACAAGATTAGATATTGCTTAACCCACTGAGCCATGCTTCTTAACAATCATATATATAGGGCGCCTGGGTGGCTCAGTTGGTTAAGCGACTGCCTTCGGCTCAGGTCATGATCCTGGAGTCCCTGGATCGAGTCCCGCATCGGGCTCCCTGCTTGGCAGGGAGTCTGCTTCTCCCTCTGACCCTCCTCCCTCTCACGCTCTCTGTCTCTCATTCTCTCTGTCTCAAATAAATAAATAAAATCTTTAAAAAAAAAATCATATATATATATTTATACATATACAAAATACACATACAATCATATTTATATGTATATATATACACACATTCTGTTTCACATCAGAATACTTGTATAAAGCTGCTTCAAAACTGAGCAGCAACTTGGGATCTTAATCTAGCAAGTGTCTTAGATGTATGAAGGCATACTGTCAAGGCAAATATCCTAAAATCAGATTAAAAACATATATTCAATGAAGAGCTCTATAAATGTAGGGCAGAATGCACAGACTTCACATGCTCTTAACCTACTCTTTATTTTTTTATACGAAGTAAATTCTCTATGGAACATATTAGTCTGCAAATCAAAGTATTCCAACTTTAATCTATGCACACCAAAAAGCAGTGAATGACAGGAATGGCATAACATGCATGCACGTACTTGTGACTGTTAAGAAATTTAATGCCTTCTGTTTGCTGTTTTTGGATCATCCCACAGAAAAGTTGGAATTTTGTTAGCACAGCCCTCATTCTGGATTGCTGACAAAGTCTTTTCACAAAGCAGAAACAGGCTTTAAATGAATACCAGTTTTTTATCCCCTGATCTTGAAAATTTCTTAAGAAATCATATCAAAGTTCCTGAGCAAAACAAATTATTTGGTACTACTTGGATGGAGGAAACATTCATAAAAAGGAAGTAAGTTCTTTTTACTGCAATTTTCTTAGAGAAACCACACATTCTGTGATTTGTCATTAGTATTTAAACAGGTAGTGCTATCAAAATGGCTCTTCCCCTGCTCCCCTCCCTTGGAACTCCCCTAAGAATAGAGGCAACATGGTACAAAATGAGATCACTGTATTTAGCCCACAGACCATGGCTCTGACATTTATTAGCAGTAGAAACTTGAACTAGTTATTTAATGTCTGAATTTTTTGTCTTTTGTTTGCAAAGTAGATATAAATTCAAACTACAAAATGAAGTTTAAGTAGAATAGTTCAGCTATTAGGAGTGAGGATCCTGTAACCAGAGTGTCTGGATTTGAATACCAGCTCTGGCACTCATTAGAAGCAGTGTCACGTTTTAAAAGATACTTAAGTCCCTCGTGTACTTTATAAAATGAGGACGACAATGGTACCACTTTCTCAGGCTGATGTGAGCATTAAGTGAGCAAATACAGAAAATGGGCTTACCTATTATTTTTCTGGTGACAGTGCTCTATTTTTTCCAGAATAAATCTTGGATTTATTGGATTAATGGAAAATAAAATTTTCCATTAATATGGTGTCTATGTACAGAATAAATCTTGTGAAGATCAATTATAGTATGTAAACTACTCTGAGATCTACAAAAGAGTATATAGGCTTCTTGGCCCCATTTCTAATAGAAAATCTACTACACTGAGTTTTATCCTATTTACAAATAAGTACCACTTTACCAGTTTTTGAGAAGATAGACACCATACTTTATCTATCTTAATTTCACCAACATGCTCAAAAAATGTGTGGCATCTAGGAAGTGTTCAGACAGTATTCACTGTGGTGTTTTAGTAAATTAAGAATTTTCTTTCTTTAGAATTGTTTTATATGTTTAAAAAATCCATGAACACAGCAGAGAAAAATTAAAGGATAAAAAATGAAAATTAAGTCCTTTTCTACTCAAAGTTCACCCCTAAATTCTGGTCTCAAAAGCAACTATTATCCTCATTTTCTAATTCAGAAGTGTGTGTGTGTGTGTGTGTGTGTAGATGGCCTCTCTTTACACAAATTGGCATGTATAATTTACCTGACCTTAACTTTGCTCTCTTCATTTAATAATATCTGTTTAATTTTTCCATATTAGTACACAGAAACCCACACTATTCTTTCTAACAGCTACACAAAATCTATTTTATCAATATAATTTATTCCTAGGCTTTATCAATAAAATGTAAGATTATTGCTATTATAGATATTATATAATATCACATTGAACTGTCAATCTATTAGATAAAAACTGGTATTTTACTATAGATTTTAATCTGCATTTTTTATGGGTGAAATTGAGCATCTATGTCTATATTTAAATGGGGGTTTTTTGGGAGCTGTCTATGAAAGTTATTTGCCCATTTTCTACTAGGTTGTTGGTTTTTTCTCACTGAATTTAAATGCATTATATACTAAGGAACTGAGCCCCATATTTATTATGTTTTGCAAATGTTGGATTATCTTATTACTCAAGGGTATTTGAATTTTAAAGTTTTCAATTGTGGTTTCTAGATTCTGTATTTCGCTTCAATAAGTTTTTCCATACTCCAAGAAATTTTCCATGTTTTTTTTTCTGGGAATGAAATTATTCTAATCAAAGTAAAACACTAATTTTTATCCTATGTAGTCCCATATTTCATTCATAATTATCATTTAAAGAAAAAATTAAGAAAACAAATGAAAAGAATAACTTTATATAACATAACTTCATATATTAATCTGTGAGCAAATTGTCCCACATATTTAAGTGATGTACTAGAAATTATAAACTGCACAGCAATGTCATCATTTATATTCCTGAACTGGCCGACATCTGACAAGCTGCATTTAATGAGTGTAAAGTCTACCAGCATTCCATTTCAGGAATTGAAGAAATGTATCTTAAAAGAGTAGGTCTGAGTCTGAAACTTATGGGCCTCTCAAATTTCAAAACAGCACAAAATTATGAAAAATATGACTTGATGTTATATTAAATGATCACCTTTTCCCTAGTGAGAATATTATAATATGGACATCAAAATTTAATAACTAACATGGGTAAAATGTCATTTAAAAATTATTGGATATTAAAATTATAGTTAGAACTTTGTATCCACAGAGGAATATAATTGAAATGAATATCCAAAAAAGTATACATTTGTTAGAACTAAAATACAGAAGAAATGGTAAACTTCAGCAATCTTTTCTCTAACAATATTATACTCTAAATAATTGTTTATCACATATGAATGTACATACTATTGCTATAGTAAATATAGTAATTTATATTCACTGATATAGTAAATCAATAAATGCAACACATTTTTAGTATATACATATCATTGATGAAATTTTCCATTAATATGGTGTCTATGTACAAACAAAATCCCATCATAATGAATTTTTAGTCTGCTTTACTAAAATTAGGTTGAAATTTAGGATAAAAAGCAATTAGTCTTTGAATTTCAATTCTTATATAGAAAAAACTTCCTTACTCAAATATAAAAGAAATTCTCTCACAATTTATTTTCACTATTTAAGATGTTTCTAAATAATGCAGAACACTATAAATTAACTCATTAATGATTAAACTTAAGTGTTCAGTAAATTTACGTATACTCTAAATTACAATTTATATATCAATGGAAGAATTGTATTATTATTTGTAGCTATAATATATAAAACTACTATAACTATTAATCATTGTATAATATTCATAGTACATCTGTTATCAAATTTTTACTCTTCATTATATGGTATTTCTTTTACAGTTTGGTAACAGGAAAACATTCTCATAAACGGGCTAATTTCTCTGAAGAAGAGAATTTGTTAGTGTGAGTGGGATGAATTCTTGTTATTATAATTTCAACACCAAGAATTATTTTTCAGGCTGTTTCCTTGATATGCCTGAATTTTACATTCTTCTTTTCATATCTATAGGAATTTACACACATTACTATATAATGACAAACTATTTAGTAAGAACAGTATTTTGTAAGAACAAATTATTAGCAATGAAAAGGAGATGTGAAAGATTTTAATTAATTGATCAATTTGTTCTGTTATTCAATATTGTAGTCACAAATAACTTATATAGATACTTGAATATTTTAATGAACAAAATAAGATGTTTAAATTACATATTTTTAAGTTAAAGGAGATGATATGATTTTACAGTTTAAAAAAAAGGACAAGTCACAATTTAAAGTATTCGTGATGAAGAAAAAGTTAATTATTATATATATATATTAAGTTGACTCAGAGATTCATGAACACAGGTAAAATAATAGTTAATAAAAAAGACTTTTATGATCAATTTTACATAGAAGAAGCTTTGAATATATTTCAGGACAAAAACTACA